TGTACAGTTTTCTATTGTGATTGGTACGACAACACTCCGGATCGAGGTGTGAGAACAGATGCATTTGGTGTTACATCAGTACATTCGAAGCGAAAACTGCAATATTATGATCCTTTCATTCTTGCTTCTCAGACCGACCAGGTAATTATATATATATATATATATATATATATATATATATATATCTATATATATATATATATGTCAATTATTCAAATATGTATTAATATATATATTAAGTTACAAATTTACAAATAATTTTTTAAATGTTAATTTACAGGTTTGTTATATCAAGTACCCCCGGGTTAGGAACAGAGATGATCCATGGGTCACTGTTACATCACTCAACCCCAGAGGCCGAGTTCAAGGAAGTTCTGAGCTGGAAGACCCAATACAAACAAACACATCGGGCAACTTAAGTGTAGCAGAAGATGTAGCTGCAGTTGACCTTGTCGTCGATTTTACCAACTTTGGAGAGGAAGTCATCGTTCAGGTAGAGGATGAACCAGAGATTGGAGAGTTTCACCAAGATCCAGATTCAGATTCATCTGGTGATGATGATGACTCAAAAACAGAGTAGTATCGAGACAATCCATTTTTTTTAATACAATTTCGAGGAGATACCGAGGAAGACATCATATCCTCGGTATTTCCTCGATAAATTTCGTATTTAGGAATTTGAATTTAGGGGTTATCTTCCTAGAAATTTCCTCAAAATTTTCTCGGAATATATCGAGGAAATTCCGAGGTACTATGCCTTTTCCTCAGAATTTCCTCGGTATATTCTGAAGAAATTCCGAGGAATCAAGATATTTGATCCGAAAATAACGTGTTTCATTTAGAAATTGAACATGTGACTTAAATTAACCTTATTTACCGTCTTAGATTGATTATAAAGTAAAATACTAGTGTGTTTTCAAGTAATAAACTCTCTTCCAATTGTATAAACGAAATTCCTAAACAACAAGATAAACACTTATACACTTTAATGAACGGAAACGACAAGACGTGTACTCGTTTTCTAAATTTTGTAATTTCATGGGTTATGGGTATCTATTGAAAGAATCTTCAATGTTATCCATTGAAAAAATGTCAAATTGTTCAAGGAATGGTCTACTGTATCAAAAATTTAGGTTTTGAAACCCCAAACAAGGTTTCCTCGGACTTTCCTCGGTATATTCCGAGGGAATTCCGAGGAACCTTCCCACCAATAGGAAGACATGCAGAGCATATTCCCGTTTAAAGTCTATTCTGAGGAAATTCCGACGGACTTTTAAATGTCCGTCGGAATTTCCTCGGAATATTTCATTAACCGGGAAATCAAACCGCCAAACAATTTCGCGAAAAATAAGTTATATATATTCCGACGGAATTCCGAGGAATCCGTTTCCGTCAGAATTTCAGGTTTTATTAACCCGAGAGGGTTCTTCTTCCTCATTTCTCTTCTCTTCTCTTTCGCCGCCGCGATTCTCCGCCTCTCTCTCTCGATTCTCCGCTGCGAAAACTCCTCTCTCCCGATCTATTTCATTCTAAAATCATGTAAGTCCTCATTCCTCATCATCCTTAGTTGTTTTCATTAGGATTTGAAGTTAGTTTTAGAGATTTTAGATGTTTTAGATTGTGATTTTGTTAGGGTGATTGGTAGATAAGGGAATTAGATGGTGTTTGTGTTGATTGTGCTGTTGTTGTTGATTTATAAATTTTTTGTTTAGAAAATCTATTTTCGGGATTATGAAAAGGTTTTTTATATTTTTGAAACTTTTGGTGTGATTACACACTATTTTTAATTAATAAAGTATTTTCCTATTTATTAAATGATTTTTTATACTACTGAAACTTTTGTTGTGATTACAAACTATTTTTTAATTAATAAAGTATTTTCCTATTTATTAAAATATTTTTTTTTATATTACTGAAACTTTTTTTGTGATTACAAACTATTTTTTTAATTAATAAAGTATTTTACTATTTATTAAAAGGTTTTTTATATTACTGGAACTTTTTTTGTGATTACAAACTATTTTTTTAATTAATAAAGTATTTTCCTATTTATTAAAGGGTTTTTTATATTGCTGAAACTTTTTTGTGATTACAAACTATTTTTTTAATTAATAAAGTATTTTGCTATTTATTAAAAGGTTTTTTTATATTACTGAAACTTTTTGTGATTTAAAACTATTTTTTAAATTATTACAAGTTTTTTAAAAAATCTGTTTTGTGATTAAAACCTATTATTGGATTTTAATATCATTAAAACTATTTTTTTTTTTTAATTTATAGGTCTACTGGTGATCAGAGTCTGCCTCGAGTTCGTCGTTCCGTACCACTAGGTTGTAGTGGTTCGGGGAGCCGTACATCTCCTGGTCCGGTTTCTGCTCCCGCTGCTGCACCCCCTCCCGATCCTCCAGTCGTTCCGGGAGCGATGACTATTGAACAGTTGGTTCAACAGCCCGGTCGTGAGCATCTTCTCTATCTCACCCAATATCCTACGGGACGACGTCAAACATGGTAATTAAGAGTCTTTTTCTGTAAGTGTTGATTCATTATTAATAATTTGATCCTTTTTGATAGGTTCGACCGATCCGGGAACGGGATCAGCTCATGGATCAACTGGATGATGTACTCGGACCTCAAGAAGGGATATCCGACTTTCACTCACTTCCCTCTCGCCGAACATGAGATGTGGTTTCATCAGTTTGCGGTAAGTATTCAACTTTTTAAGTTATATTTTTCATCTTTAATATTAATACTTTACTAATTGTGATTTTTCAGCAAGAGTTCACCTGGCATCCCGATCATACGCCATTTATCCGCAATGCCTTCATCCATAAAGTTATGGACAACTATGGGAAGCAGATCTATGAGTGAAAGAAGAAGTGGCGCGTCAATAAGGTATCGGTTTATTAATCTATTTTTAAATTTATTAAATTAATTTTTAATTTATTAATCTATTTTTGGATTTATATAACTATTTTATATTTTTTTATTTATTAAAAGGTCCCGAAATCGATGAACGACACGATCTGGAAGGACCTGTGTGAGCATTGGAAAAAAGACGAGACGGAAGTAACCTCCACCACCAACTCCACCAACCGCAACAGCAATCGTGGCGGGAAGGGGGTGGCCAAGCCCAACTTGGGTGCCATGAGTATTGCCATGCTCGGAGATAAAACGGTAAGTTGAATCTCTTTTTTTCAATTATTTAGGTATTTTTATTTTATTTTTATGCATTTATTTTGATTTCTAATGTTTTTTTTAACTTATATTTTTTTCTAGGCGGAAGAAAATGATGGCGAGCCGGTTGATGATTTCAAACTGATGAAGAGGGCGCATACCAACAAGCATACCGGGGAGATTGATGAGGGTCTTGTGAAGGAGGTGGTCGACCTGATCACCACTCTCAAGAACGACGAAGAGCTCTGTCTATCCTGGCTTCAAACCGAGCTCGACTCCACTTCGACGGCCTCGATCTCCCTGTTCCGAGCTCGAATCAACGAGATTGTTGAATCGGTAAGATGTTTTTATAAAAATTCAATTCATTTATTTCTTTATTTTTATTTTATAATATTTTCTATTACTAAATTTTGTTTATTTTCTCTTTCAGTTGGTTCCAAAGAAGAAGGGACGATTGGTCGGTTTGGGTCGTCGATCCAAATCGGTTCCTCCTACATCACAACCGCCTATTGATCCAATGGTTATGGAGCAGCTGCAGGACAAGGATGACTGCATAGCTGCATTGGAGGCTAAAATGGCGGAACAAGATAAGGGATGGGAGGAATCGAGGAGGCAGAACGAGCGCATAATGGAGATGATGAGGCAGATGTACCCGAACGAGCAATTCCCGTAGTTTTTTTTCAAAAACTATGAATGTTTTTTCATTTGAACAACTCTGATTATTATCTAATATATTTTCAGTTTCAAATTTTTTGTTATATTTTCAAATTTTAACTATAAACAATTAATTTATAATTTTGGTACAAAAATTTAATTTTAGGAACATTCCGAGGAAGTGTATCACTCGAAATTTTCCGAGGACAGGTGTCGTCGAAAATTTCCGAGAAACGGTCATCCTCGGAAATTTCCGAGGGATACACTTCTTCTGAAATTTCTGATAGAATAAGTCCTCGGAATATTCCGAGGACTCCCGCTCCTCGGAAATTTCCGACGAAATGCGTCTTCGGAATATTCCGATCACTTTCCTCCCTCGAATTCTTTCCGAGGACCCTTCCATCAGAAAAATCCGAGGCATTTCCGACGATCTTGTCCTACGATATAGTTTCTCGGAATATCCTCAGAAATTATCGTCCTCGGTAGTTCCTCGGAATTTACAGTTCTCAACCTTTATTAATTCATCAAAAACTGAATACAAATCTATGCATACAAAACCTATTTATATGAAAACTAAATAAACTTAAAACTATTAAAATCCTTAAGATAATTATAACTAATTAAGATAAATATCAAAATAAATAATAAACTAGATAATTAAGATATTTTTTGGATACGATATCACACAGTGTCGTTTTATGACTACATCACTGCGTTTGTTTGCTGCCTCTTTGTTTGTGTTCTTTTGACCATCACCTGATATACATGAGCTTTTGACACATCGAAAATATTTGCTTTGTTATATAGAGATCTTTAATCTTTCGGTGTTGAAATACTTACTACTATTTGTAAGCAAGCTCTTTTTAATTTCAACTGAACTGAACTACAAAAGGTTATGTACACACTCACTCGTGGAGGGCAATTCAAAAGAATCTATAATAATAAAGTTCACCCATCTGCTCACACAAGCGGCCACGTCCTTTTCTTGATAGGGGTTTTTGCGACACGTGTCACACTCTCATTGGGTGTACCTCTCATTTGTTTTTCTTATCCGGCGAATACAAGAATCTGATTCTTCTTCCCCGACTCTTCTCCTTCCCATCGGTGTGCTTCTTCTGTGATATCTGAGAAACCAGAAATTCAATTCATTACCGTAACGAGCGATGCTAACGATGGGAATCGGGAGGTAATCACGGGGAATCTGAGTAGAGTAGAGAGAGGTGTAGGGGATGATAGAAGATGGGTCATGACGCTTACTTTGGCTAATAAAGCGATGAGATATGCGTTGAAGTTAGGTGGGTTGCTTTACTTTATCTGACTTCAACGGATGAGTACTCTTCTGCTGGTTCAAAACCTTACAAGTGAGTTTACAATATAAAGTTTAATGCTTTACATAAGAAAATATTTGAATGTATGTCAATAGGATCTGTGGAACATTGTCGGATGGTGTGGTTTAGGAGAGAAGGAGGTTGAAAGTTTGAACATTTCTTGGTTTTATTGTCATGTAGTTCCTTAGCAGCTTATGGAGCGTTTACTAGGCCAATGCCATCTGGGAATGAGATTAGGCTGCGAATGCTTATAGGTGGAGCAGTGAGAGAGGCTACTATGCTTGATTATCATATTACGCCTCTTTTCTCATGATACTCTTGTCACGGAACTTTGTTTACAGCCTTGCTTCGGGTTCACCGTGGGAAGCTACACGAGGACAGGTTATCTTTAAATTTGTGAATCTGACTAAAAGGACTGGAGTCATTTCATAACACTGTCCATCCAGATCTTTCATTTGAGCTCTGGGAGTTATTCTACTGTTATGTGCTAAATTTGGTTTTACTCTGGGTCAAGAACTGAAACAAACTGCTTCAACTGAGGAAGTGAGGGTAGCTCTTGGAGAAAAAATAGCAGAGACCGGATTGGCAATGAAGTATATATTTGATCTTTGTGTTTGCTGGATATAGCTGATTTCGCTGCAATCTTTTTTTAGAGGTTTAGTGTTAAACAACTTGATTTCTTGGTGCAGATCGACTTGATGATATCTGGAAACGGACCAGTTTCAAAAGTAACATATCTTATTGACCTGAAGCTGTTTGAGGTTCATTTCTACTCTTAGCATTCGGGAATTTAGAAAATCTGGTTCCGTGACGCTGCTATAGCATCTTTATAGGGATGTAAATGTGTGTTATTTAGCTTTCGCCTTTCATAGCAAATTTGAAAGCTATGGCTCTGAGCCAAATGTTGTTATGTTCTATAGCATCAACCCCAAAGTAATTGGAGTGAAGGATTATAATTCTTTCTTATGTGTCCCGCATTTACACAGGACTTATTGCCCATAAAAAGGAAAAAAAACAGTTACCTTAATGAAGAAGCAGAACCACCATGCAACTTAAGCTCTTCAATTTACAACACTAGAAATATTCCTCTACAACGACTACCACCAAAGATACTGTAAGTCATAGTCACACCTATCATACATATATCACCCACGTGAGTAACTTAACAAAAATGATATTCTTTACATATACGTGTACTCCTTATATGTATCATTAGTTTCAAAATTCTGCTTTTCTTCTTTATCTTTAACAGAGGAAGGCGATTCCAAAAGCACATCACGAGGAAACTGGTGGGAAGGTATCGTTGTTTCATATCCACATTTAAAGTTTTATTACCCCAATTTCAGCTTTGCAAATTACCCTAAGACACCTTTTTCTTGGTGTGTAGTTAATATTTTCTTTTAGGTCACACAAATTAACAAGTATCTTTAGTCCAGTCTTTGATACTATTTTGTAGGGATTTAAGAAACATCATGGTATAATCTTAATATGAAATTCGAAGGATCGTAGTGAAGAAAAAGAGTATATATTAAAGAGTAGCATATTGTATAAAAGAAGAGTGACTCTTTCTTGACATGTTGATTTGTTTTGTTTACAACAAACGTAACACTAAAGACAAGCCTCTTTCTGATGATATTAATGTTTGTCTATGGGAGACAGTGCATTACGAATAATTGCAATAGTACTTTATATTTATATGATAGTGACGCACGTTTGTTACTGGTATTAAAAAGCCCAAGTTCAATGATATTATTGAAAAGGTCTTATACTGCATTGTTTTGTTCCCCCTCCTGTTCAATGTGCTACTATTTCATGGTAACCACATTTTTTACAAAGTTAGACTGGAGCTTTTGGGGTATACTTAACATTCTTAATTAGAAATATAATATAACAAAGATATAGTTTCACCGCAATTTGAGCTTCTAAGGCTCGAATCGGTTGTGAACTCAGTCACTAAGTCAATAAAACCAACGAGTTCTTTACTCTCACAGCCCAACCCCTCAAACATGGAAGACCTCCTACAAGACGTCCACGAGATATCATCAGGGCCGTCCCTGAGATTTCGGGGGCCTAAGGTGATATTTTAACGATTTCAGCTAAAAAAAATTTTTAAACCATATTTGGGGGCCTAAATTTTTTTTTCGGGGCCAATATACATATAACTTTTTCTGAAAAATTTGGAGGCCCAAGACAAATGTTTCATCAGGCTTGCCGCAAGACTGGCCCTGGATATCATCTTTAGGGCTGTGTAGTTATCAATTGTGTTTACAAGAATCTAACAATCTAACCGTTCACTATATATCCATTAGCATCGCTAACAAAGTATAATGATCTCATGACTAAGTGTTTATCACCAGAAAATTTGAAACGCATGGAAAAGAATACAAGAAAATTTAGAAAAAAACAATACCTCTGTCGTTCTCCTTCATATCCAACCAGAAACTTTGAATCTAATGTAAAAAGAACACAAGAATATTTCAAGGATAACAATACCTCTGTCGGTCTGCTTCATATTCAAGTTTGAGCAGATAGTTAGTATCTAAATGCAATTTATATATATGTTATAACTAGGGCTAAGATTTTTGACAAAACTAAATTTGCCAAACCGAACTGAAAAGCTCGGTTTTATGTTAGTTCAGTTTGGAAGTTGGGTTCAGTTCAGTAAAAATAAATTTTGGTTTTAGGCTCGGTTCGGTAATCAGTTAGTTCGGTTTTCTAAAAAAATCAGACAGTACCAATTTTAATCGAAATTCAAAACTGAACTGACCAAAGTCCGAATAAAAAATAACTGAATTAAAAAAATAACTGAAATAACCAAACCAAACTTACGAAAATCCGAACCGAAATATACTGAAATTAACCAATTTTTTTACTTTGTTTTTCAATTTAAACCGAAAGTTTAACTGAACTAACCGTAAAACAAAACTTTGGTAAATTTTTTTGAAACCAAACTAATTGGAAACCAAACCAATTTTTTCGGTTCACTTCAATGACATTTTGCTTGACCGAACTAACCGACCCAAACTACCCGAATAAACCAAACCCAAAGGCCTACCTGCTGGCTGTTGCTTGACCCAAATGAGAGTGGAAAGAAGAACGCACGCAGGACATAGCTTCACGTGTCAAGGGAAATCCACATTCCATTTGTTTTTTCAGATAATACTAGGGTCGGCCCGCCCTACGGGCGGGATGTATACTCGAAAATAATTGAAATAGTTTGAGTAAATAATTATTTTAATTTTATTAGTTAAAAATATAAATAATGGTTAATTAAATTCTGCATTTTTTTCTTTTTTTGAAGTCTAAATAAACTATGATATTTTGATAATTAGTTAAGTTTTCTTTTTTTTCCTTGAGGGTGGCATTACATCAGTTCGTCCTGAAAATAAAGTAATGACAATTTTAAATTTGAGGTTAGTCTTTGACAATTCATATCTGTATGTATAGAGAGGAAAGATATACATGCAAGTCTTTAGCTGATTATTTGGATCCATTTTTGCATAACTATGTTAACTATTTTTCTCAAACATCTAAGCCATTCTACTAATTTGGTGTTTTGCTTTAAGTTAAAAAGTTGTTTGTTTTTCTCTTTTCATCAAATTAAATAAAACATGATTTTTATTGGTACATATTTGTTTTAGAAATATATTTACATAAAAATAATTATGATATAAATATAAAGTAAAAATATTATATTTTAAAGTTATTGTAAGGAATATATATTTATGTTTAATTCAATCTGATTTCTAATCATATAAACTAATTTTTATCTAGGATAAATATAGTTATATTTTTTTGGTATAAAACCAAATAAACCAAACCAAACCAAATTAAATATGGATCCAATATGATAATTAATTTTTATAAACCGAAATACCAAAAAACTAAAAAAAAAATCCGAAATCGGACCAAAATCCGGAATGAACATACCTAGATAAATGCATTAGAAGAAGTTTGACAGCCCAGTCAGTAGATATAAATGTTAAATTAGTAATAAGTAGATTAAAATAATGAACCAAATATGAAAACATGAACAAATTTGTTGAATAAAATTTTGAGGTTGATCGCAAGTTTGTTATGTTTAAAGATTTTCTTTTTCTATCATTTGTAAAGAAACCGGCTCTAGCTAACCGAAACAAATTTGTTAGAAACCTGCGTCAAAGCCAACAACACGGATGCTCACTTTGTTAAAGGATTTCTACAATTCTTCCAATCCCAAAATCGGCCTATGAGTCTACATCACATAAAAATTGCCGCAGACTGTGACCACCTACAAGGAAGATACGTCTACGGTGTTCTGCTCCTAGCAATAGGCCATACTGCAAAAGGCGTCACCATCATTAACCATCTCACCGATGAGAAAGGTGTTTCAGTGGTGGAAGATTGCATGCCAGATTTCCAGCATGTTCAACCACCCCTTCTTCACATGAAAGATGTCTGCGTTACCTCAATCCTCAAGATGTGGCCGGATCTAAACTGTCATCTTGAAGCAGGAGGAGAAACCACGGTCTGTTCAAAGTGTTTCCACTTCTCTTTGCTAATCTACTTCTACAAGATGATTATGGGTTTCAACGACCTCCTGGAATGAAGAGCAACCATATAAGCTATTCGTTCTGACCGTCTACAGACTCAACTTCTATGTTACTTTAAAATTTTAAATTATCGGGGTTGAGTATAAGCAAAGTTTGCATGTATAATGTGGGAGTCGATTTCACCCTACTGTCAAATAAATCGTAAAAAAGGAAACTTCGGGAAAACCCTAAGTTTCCAGAGGAACCGGCTATCTGCGAGAACCGCACAACAAAGATTAAGATGACTAAAACACTTAGAATAAAAACGAAAATAAGAGAGGTTTGAAAGCAAGAAGGTTCTTATTCCGAATCTGCGTTGAACTG